ACACAGGGACCCCCCGGTGGCCAGAGCTACCCTCGCAGCAGTCCTGGGTGACCAGGGCATTCGAACCTCGAGTGGCGCTGAGGTCCTTCATCAGACCTCACCCTGGGGGCGGGGGTGGCAGTCTGCTCCTCCATCTGCACAGGCGCAGTTGCCCCGGGCTCTGGACATTCGGGCCATGCTGTCTTCCCTCAGCAGCCCTGGGCCTCGGCTGCCAAGGACCCCAGTACAAGCGGGAAGGCCAGGGTGGCCCTGCATCTCGGGAGGAGCTGGTCTTGGCCTCCCAGGGTCCCTGGGAGCTCTGCAGAAATGCTCGCGGGTCCTCCAAAGGGGCTCGGGAGTGGAGGGAAAGAAGCCCAACTCTGACCACCAAGCCCCAGCGCGAGGACAGGCATGGCTCTGGAGGCCACCTCTGCCCTTGCACAGTGGGTCACGGGCTCCGCAGCCCCTATTCTCAGGCCCTGCACAGCAGCTCTGTGAAAGCTTCTCCCTTTCTGTCTGCATTGCCGCCGTCTCCTCTAGTGTCCAGGCTCTCAGCTCTGAGAGATCACCCAGCCATGGGGCACAAGAGGCTCCCACACCTGCCTGCAGGGCAAGACCACAGGGGAGAGGCAAGAATGCAGAGACCCGGGCCCTGTCAGATCGGGACACTGTTCATTCAAGCTGCCCGGAGACTCGGGGTGAGATTGGTAGAAACGTGAGCGTTTCAGATAGGCTGAGAGGAGTTCACACCTCCCACTGCCATGGGTCACATGACCCCGCACCCCAACCATTCCTCAGGGTACAGGGAGAAAGATCCAAGTCCAAAGTGAATTAAAATGATAAAAAGAAAAACCAACTTGGGATCAAGTTAATTGCATAGAGTATTTACAATCTTAAATCACTACTGGTGATGTAGTAGGAGGATTTCAGTCTTTCTGCTATCACACCACCTGTAAGGAAACTTCAGCAGGCTGTGATCGGTCACAGGTGCACACCTGTGATCCCAGTAACCTGTGAGGCTGAGGTAGGAGGGTCCCAAATTTGAGCCCAACATGGGCAGTTTAGGAAGACCCTATCTCAAAATAATAAACAGTTTTTAAATGTTTAAATACATTTTATTTTATTTTATCCCATTCCCTGCTCAAGCTCCCCCAAAATATTTAAAGGGCTAGAGGATTAGCTTAGTTCCAAGACAGAGAAGGAGAGTGACAGAGAAAGAGAGAGAGAGAGAGAGAGAGAGAGAGAGAGAGAGAGAGAGGGAGGGAGAAGTTTATGCTCTGGCTCATAAGTTCACCAGGAAACATAATCCTAGAAAAAAAATCACCAGAAAACACTGTACACATAATTGTGTAAACTGCTGGATAGAATATAAGTGTTCAGCCATCAGAAGACCGTCCCCTCGGATAAATGGTAAGTGGCCATTTAAAAAATGCTACATGGGCAAAAGGCACTAACAGGGAAAAATAACTGTAAAATTAGAACATAAAAATGTGCTTGAAATAAAATTTTACATAAATTAAAATTTTTAATTTTACATGTAAAATTTTGCAGCGACATTTACAAAACTAAAAACAATTATGCAAAGAGAACATTAAAAAGCCCAGTCTTCCAAGTCTAGTAACAGTGGTTAGAAAACGGCCAGAATTCTTTTGGAGAACAAATTAAAAAGCTGGACCAACTTCAGCATGTTTCTTCTGAAGCACGAGAGCTGATCGGAGCCAGGAAGAAATCATCTGAATGAGAGCACGCAGGGAACACAGCGTGGACGGCTGTCTGGCCCTGCTGCCTGGGCGCTGGCCGTCAGCAGCGGGTGCAGGCACAGCAGGCTGGCAAGGCTCGAGGCAGGGTGCAGGGAAGGCAGTGACGTGGGTGTCTGTGTCCCAGAAGTGAGGGTGACCTGCCAGGAACAGCACCCCAGACTGCAACCTGGCTTCAAGCTAGGCGGGTGGCACGGGCAGTGGACAAATTTCAGGGCCAGCATGTGCCTGGGACGCCAAGGAAAACCTGCCCTGAAGATGCCACAGTGCCAGGCTTCAAGGCATCTCCTCACATCCATCTTTTAAGAGTCACAATCTATGGCTCCCTGGCCGGTCACGATGGATGTGCTGCTACATTCAGCATCCACACGGCGCATCAGGACCAATAGTGCCCGTTTAGTAAATCGCAGCTCTGTAGGTCAGGGGTCTGATGGGCCCGGTGGGTTTCTCCCTTAGAGTCTCACATGGCTGACAGCCAGGTGTGAGCTAAGCTGTGTCCTCAGAAAGATGAGCTTCCAAGCCCAGTCAGGTGGCTGGTAGAGTCCAGTTCCTTGGGGCTGTAGGACCAAGGCTCCCATTTTCCTGCTGGCTGCCAGGTGAGGCTGCTCTCAGCTCTGAGCTCACACCACCGCGTCAGATCCTCCTATGCTCCAATACCTCTGATTTCCTCTCGAGATTCTGCCAGGGAAAACTCTGCTCTCAGGCCTCTCCTGAAAACCTCCCTTTTTATTACTAAACATCAGCTTGTTAGTAACCTTAATTACATCCCCAAATCCCTGTGCCACTCAGCAGGACATAATCACTGTCTCAGGATCTCACTGGCCGGGGAAGTAAAGCAGGAAACCTCGAGTACCTGAGTACCCCCCCTCACACCCACAGTGGACTGGGACAACTTGCTTTGGTGTTGTCCTCTCTGGCTATCCAGTGGCTCCTCTCCTCCAGTCCACTCCAACATGATTGGGTGCAGCTTGTCTAAGCGTGGCACCTCTCCCCTGCTCCCACCGTTTCAGACTCTGCTGTTGTCTTTTTGAAGAAGACAGGGGGCACTCTGGCATGGCTAAGGTCACAGAGGGAGGGATTTGGGCTGTTAATATCCCCTACCCCCATAGCTAGTTTTTTAGAAGGTTCCCCAGTTTCACCCCTGTCTCCTCATTGGATCACCACCATGACAGCTGAGGAGCCCTGCGCCAATCAGATGTCTGTGTTTGGACCAATCACAGGCCTGCAACTCCTATCTAAGCAGCACTCCCCAGCCACTTCTCTGCTTAGTGTAGGAGGGCTCCGTCCAGTGTGCTGACCCCCCACGCTGCAGCTAATGAAGATCAGCAACAGAGACCAGCACCCTGGCAGAGCTGACCTGTGGCATCCAGCATATGCTGACAAGGGATGGTGGCAGGCAACAGTGAATAACATTAATAGAATAATATTAAAAAATTTCAGGATACAATCTAAGACTGTGCAAAGAATCAAGAAAACATAAGCAACTCTGAAGAGAAAGGCAACTGATGCCTACCCATCCTGACAAGTCCTGAGAAGTAGAAGTATCAGACTTTAAGGTGACTACTATAACCATGCTTTAAGAAGTAAGGTCAAACACTTTTGAAACAAATGAGAACATTTTCAGCAAAGTATTTGGATCTATAATACGAAAACAAAGGAAAATTTTAGAAATAAAAAAAAATGCAACAATAGAAAAAATTTTTAAAATTTAAAAAATTCAACAATAGAAAAATTTCTTCAAAGTGGAAAAAATTCATACTGCCTTTAGAAGAGCAGCAATCCTTTCAGCTAACTTTCTAGTGAAAACAATTAAATCTAGAAACAGTGGACAATACATAGTAAAGTGCTATGGCTGCATATATATCTCAGTGGTAGGTTACTTATCCAGTATACCTGAAGCCCTAAGCTCTATCCCCCAGACTATGAAAACAAATAAGAAAAGTAAAAATAAAACAACTGCCTATGAGGGAATCTACACCAAATGAAAATACTGTATAAAATGAGGCAAAGTAAAGACATTTTGAGATAACAAAAACCGACAAAATTTGTCACAGCAGAACTGCCCTGAAAATTAGCTATAGGAAAGAGAGGTTGTCAGATGGTAAGAATATGATCCCTGTCGGGATGGGAATGGAAGAAGGAATACAGACCAATATAAAGAGGAAAAATGCAGATAATGATGAATATTGACTGCTGGAGTCAGTAATACCAGCCGTGGCATGCAGGGTTTTAAGTAAACATGACAGAGAGGAAAGCAAGTGAGTATTAAATTTGTTGGAGGTCTTCACCGGGAAGGTGACAAAAAGAATAATTTACAGTGAACTTGTCGAGGGCACGTGTGTGTTGCAAACATAATCATAGACACTGTAGAACAGGGAGAGAACAGACAAACTATAAGCCAATGGGGTGCGGGAGAGATGGGATAATGAAAATATCAACTTATACAAAAGAAGGCCAGAAAGGAGAGAGATGGGGACACAAATAAAGCTGCGTGTGGGCGCCCTGCGCCAGAGCCACGCTGGGTGGACCCGGGCCTGCACTCCCGATGGCAGAGAGCACCGGGAGGACGGCACTGCCTGCTGTCTTGCACTTGCTTCATTCGCCCTCACAGCACACAGACCGAGTGGCTCTGACAGCTTCTGAGACTTGTGAAGTGAGTTCCGAGAGGAGCCAGTCAGCGTTTGATTGTGGCTGCTTCCAATTCATGCTCAGACTCTGCGAGCTACACTTCCGAGCTCGAAACTCCCCCCTCACCTTCTCAGTTTGGCTCTCAGAGCTTGTTTTTCTATTTTTATGAAACTTGTGAATTTTAATAGTCACCCTTGCAGGACTTTTGAGTACTTATAAGTTTAGCTCCTTAAATACCATGAAACATTTTACACTGTAACAGTAAGTCCAGTGCTTTCAAATTCCTTCCTGGGCATTTCGGCTGTCTATTGAACAAAGCCTTTTCAGTGCTTATTAATTTTCAGACGTCTACCAATTTAACCTTCAAAGGCAGCGGACCCAAAGTCTCTTACATATGCCAATATTGTGCACAAGAGCTCTAAGATTTCCGTGTAGCATTAGAAGACCAAGTCAGTTACTTAATTATGCATCTTTAGATTGGATTTATGAGATTTTCTGTGTAATAGGCCAAAATTCTTTAAACATTATAAGACTATGAAATATCAAGCTTGATGTAAAATGCTGTAATTTCTGTGGCTCTGGTAATAGTAATCATTTACAGAGCTTATAGCCAGGACAGAACAGAATCTGGTCATCAAGGACACTGGAACCCAGGAGATGTGGGTGGTGCTCACATCCCCAGGCCAGCCTTGCCCATTTATTTAAAAACAGTTCCTAGGAATAGCAGAGCATAATGTAGACACCTAAGTGTATAAAGCACAAAGTATGACTGAAATATTTTTATCACTCTCCAACAAACACGCACTAATCACAAACCAGTTGAGAATCAGGGCACGGCTGGGACCAATGTCCCTTCCCTCACCACCACCCTATCCCAGGCTTCTTCTTATTTTCCTGTTACGTATTTATCGAGGCAGGAGATCAGGGCATGGGAAACTGGCTGGGAATGCGTGTGACCTGTCAGTTAAAGCCCCAGGACATGTGAGCAGCCCACAGCCCTGCAGGTGGACCCGTCCGAGCGTGCTGCCTTCAATTCTTCAGGCAAGAACCCAAGTGGGACTTTTAACAGGATGACATAGACCTGACGTCAGCCTGAGGACTGGGAGACACAGAAGACAGCTGCCGTTTTCCTCGTTTCACAGTAGTCCGCCCACACCCTGTAAAGTAAACTTCCTTTCCTACTAGTAGTTGGCTTGAGCTCCCTCCGCCGAACATGTTTCTTTTCTTTTCACACCTGTGATAAATGTAAAACCCCTCTACCTTTTGGGCTTGTCCCCAGCAAGTCCTTGTCCAGGATAGGGAGGACCTAGAGCAACCTCTAGAAGGGGACTCCAGCACCGCAAAGCTGGTAACATTTCCACATAGATAAGCATCGAAAATACTATAGGCAATTTTGCTTTTGAAAGAAAGTGTTCATCCGTGGTAGAATCCCTTGTGCTAGGCTTGGGGTGTGTGGTGCAGACATCTTTCATCTTCGTTGCTGTGGGGTCTTCTCTGGAGTATGGGTGACCTTGTGGTCACCCCACAAGACCTGAAGGCCTTGCGACTTGGTTCACTCTGGGGCTTTTGGGAATAGCCTGGCTGTGACACCCCTCGTCCTTTGCCCCCGCCAAGCACTCAGAGCACTTTCCTGCTACCGCCGGAACCAGCTGGGTCTGAGATGTGCATCTTCCGCTCTCCCGTGCTGGCCTGGCCATGGCTGACTCACTCTCCATCGGCGCTGCCTTCGAGGGGCAGCCCCTGCCCGGCCCCGTGTGGCCTCCCTTCTCAGCCCTTATCTCGGGGGCTTCTGCTGGGGGGCAGCAGCACCTCTTTTCGGCTGTAATTCACATTTCTCTCATAAGTACTATGATGGAGAACCTCTTACAATTAAATAATGGCCCCTTGCATAAATATATCGGCACCGTCTTATAAATATACTGGGCCTTTTAATAAATATATTAGCCATCATCTGTCCAAACCTTATACCTTGTATTTTTCAGTGCCTGAAATGGAACAGTAGGCAAGCCCTTTAACCGCTGAGCTGCACCCCAAGCCCTTAGTACTTATTTTTTAAAACTGAGATGACACTGGTCTATCCCTATGCAGGTGTATTTCATTAGTGCATACTGGGCATATCTGTGTGTGTGTATTCTACATTTTGATCACTCCCCTCCCTGTTATCTCCCTGTCCTTCCTACCCTGTGTATTTATTATTATTTACATGAATTCTCTCAGCTAGGATCTTGCTCTATTTTAAATAGGTCGTGGTGGGGAGTAACCTGTCCCTACCTTGTGGCCAGAACGTGGGAAACTCCCAGGGCAAACTCCACCAGGTGAGGGAGGCCTCTCCACCCGGAGGCTCCCAGACGGCCCTGCAGGCTGTGGGTAGAGCAGCTGTGACAGTAAAAGTGGGTCAGAGAGATGGGATGTCGGAAGCCGGGTAGAGTGGAGCAGCGAGGACACAGCTGTCTCCGGGAGCGGAAGAGGAGAGGGGTGGATCCTCCCCGGGCTTGGTGGCGGGCCAGCCCTGCTGACGCCTGGCCTTAGCCCCGCAAGGCCTCTTGGGGACTTCTGACCCCCAGCACTAGAGTAATACGTGCATTGTTTCAGCCACTAAGTGAGTGCGGTCAGCTGCAGAGGGGTGTGGGTGGCAGAGGGATGGCCTCACTGGGGTTCCCTTCTCTTCTCCCACCCCTGCGCTTTCTGGGGCGAGGACACCCTCTCCCTATCCCTGGCCTGCTCAGCAGTGCCCTGGCCTACACCCACTCCCTGGGGTTCACTGTGCCAGCTTTTCTGGGTGGGGGTACAGGGGGTGGCAGCTGCCCAAAGGGTGGACCCTGCTATCCAGAAAGCAGGCAAGCTCTACCCAGCTCCCTCCCTGCCTTTTCAGGAGTTTTCTGGGCCCAGGGAACTCTTTACAAGATGAGCAACGAACTGTGGGGACCCCCAGACTCCCACCTCCCATCAGAGGCTGGAGCTTGAAGCTGGAGGCGGGTAGGCCAGGTGAGATGTGCTCATCTCTGCAGGCGTCAGTGCCCAGCCTGCCTACGGGGCTCCCTGACTCTGGGACTTTCCAAGGGCCCCAGAAACCCCTCCCTACAGTGCTGGTGAAGGGACAGGAGGAATCCCCAAGCACCGGTCTTGGAGAAATGAATTAAAGCGCGACCACTTGTCTGCCAGAGAGAAGACGCGTTTGGGAGCATAATTCTCCATCCTGGTGGGGCTTGGGATGGGTGGGGAGAGTGGGCATTGGCAGGGCGAGTGTGGAGCAGTGTCTTCCTGGGTGGGGACTTGTGTGGTGTCCCTGTCCCACAGTAAAGGGGTCTCCACTTGGAGCTAGACGGGCCGCAGCTTCATCTCTGACACCTTGTAGCTGTAATTGTACCCCTTGCCCGATTTCCAGTTGATGCCATTGGCGAAGCTGTCGTGGGGACCCCTGAGGTAGAGGCCGTTCAGGTTGGACACGTGACATTCCCCGTACCACCAGCTTCCGTGGTATTGTGCCGCACAGCTGGCTGAACTCTGGTCGTTGTCCTGGTCTTTGGTGGAGAAGAACCTGCCACTGTGGGACGTCAGAGAGTCTCCTGCTCAGAGAAAACATGGGTCCTTGGACCCAACTGTGTCTGGCCTCCCCAGGCCTCCCCAGGCCAGCCTCCTGCCTCGGTTGGTGTCCCCCTGGCATTAAGAAGGATAAATCGTTCCCTGGCACCTGCTCCTTCCCTCCAGAGTCCTGCATCCTGTGTGCCCCTGGGCTCCACCAGCCCTGGAGGTCTTCCCCATCTGTCTCCATGAGCACGGAGCCCACCGCTGTCTCCCGAGGGCCAGCAATTCAACCTGAACCTCAGCTTTTCTGCCTGCAGTGGGGACAATGCTGTCTGCTCCTCTTTCCTGTGCCTCAGAATCAGACAGAAGCATGAACTCCAGCTGCTCCCAGGCAACAACTGCGCCACACAGCTCCAGGCTCAGCCCAGCAGTTCCTGGGGGCCAGAGTCCCTTCGGACAGGAAGACCCCTCGGGGACACAGCCTGGGGGGCTATCTGATGGCATCCTGAGGACCAGGAACCTGAAGACTCGGAGGCATGGCCCTGGCCCAGGTCTCTCACTCGCACGCTCACCAGCACTGCCTTCAACGAAGGCGCCCAGCACCAGCTTGTACTTCTCTGCCTCGGCCGCCACCCTGAAGGAGTTGTACTTGGCAAAGCTGGGGTTGCCCTCGAAGTCCACCAAGTCCACGCGGAGCTCGCTGCTTCCTGCGGGAGAGCCCTGGGTCTCAGCCGCCCGGGAAGCTTAGCTGGATGCGGGAACATCCTGGGTCTAGGCAAATTCCTCGCTCTCCCTTGGCTTGGCTGAAGACCCAGCTAGGCCGTCACTCGTTGGAACGAGGCTCACTGTACTTGGAGAGTGCAGTGAAGAAACTACATGTGGTGCTTTGGCAAGCAACTTCCCCGAAGAGTTATAGACGTCCTGATACAGTGATCCATGCACATCCGAGTGCAAAGCAGCACAACTCATAATGGCTAAGCCCTGGAAGCAGCCTCTGGGCCCATCAACAGCCAAATGGATAAAGAAAATGTGGTATTTAACCTACCGTGGAGTGCTACTCTGCCATAAAGAAGGATAAACTTGAATGATCTGTAGGAAAATGGATGTACCTTGAGACCATAATGTTAACTGAAACAATTCAGATATATCACATGATTTCTCTTAAAGTATAAATAAAGAACAAAACAAAAGACAGATAATAGGAAGTAAGGAGTTAGATCTTTCTTGAATGGGAAGGGGATCAAGAGATGGAGGGAGGCTGAGGGCCATGGAGGAGAGAAGAGGCCCCACCACTCCCACCTGAGCCCTTAGATGCCCACAAGCTCCCCCAGCAAGGAGGTTGGGAGGGTCCGCCATGCAAGCCGGAGGGGCGAGGAGGGGCCCAAGTGTCCCCGATGGACTGACAGCTGGAGGCACCAGAGTGCCACCAAGCCCTGGTACCTTCTTTGATCCTGACCTTCTGTGGGCTACAGCAGGGGGCACATGCCCTGGAGGTCACAGTTGAGACTCTCACCGTCCTGGCCAGGCACTGGGCCCTTCTGCCCAGATGCCGGGTCTTTGGCTCCCACGGCCCCATGCCTGGGGTGCTGCTTACCCCGGGATGTTAGGGCGTGGATGTTGTCATTCCCCAGCCAGAACTCTCCCAGCTGACTGCCGAAACCCTGCTTGTAGGCGGCCCAGTCCCGAAAGAAGTCCACGGAGCCATCAAGCCTGCGCTGGAAGACCTGGGAGAGGGCAGTGAGGGCACTTGGGGGAGGGGAGGCCAGGCCGATGCCCCGCAGTGTGGGGACTGGCTTGAGAGCTCACTGGCACCTGCGGGGTGCCAAGAGCACCACGTGGTCCTCACAGCTCCCACGTGATGGAGGAGGAAATGGAGGCCCCACAAGGGTAGGCGGCCGGCCAGAAGCCAGGCGGCAAGACAGCCATGGGCTTCCTCTGGGCCCAGGACCTGGACTTTCACCCACAGGACTTTTCACCCTCCTCTATAAGACGGGGGTCTTTCTGGGCTGCAGAGGGGAACAGGGAATCTCAGTCTGCTCCCTGCCAGCCACTGATCCCGGTCATGAGGTTCCTGGCCTGACACTCACAGTCCACCCACCACCGTCTGTGTCCATGTCACACAGCACAGTCAGGGGCCGGCAGTCAGGCAGGTAGACGGTGTGCCAGCCACTCAGGAAATGGCCCAGGCTGCGGAGGTCCTTGCAGGTCTGAGGTCCTGGGAATGGGACCAGAAAAAGGGTGGGACGTGGCCCTGAGTGGGCTGCACAGCGCGGGACCCAGGATGGCCTCCCAGATCCCGGGCCTGTGGTGGCATCAGGCAGTGGGCACCAGGTGTCTGAGTCCTGGGTGACGGATGGACTGCGTGGATAGAGTTGATCCTGGGGCTGCGGTACCAGGTCTGCCTGGCTGCCGGGGTGGGCGGGGCTCAGGGATGGGGTGAGTGGCGCAGTCACCTGTAGCACAGGACTGCCAAGATCCAGCATCTCCTGCTTGGGGAGAGAAGAGATATCGTACCTGCCCTCCTCCTTTGTAGCCCCGGATGCCCCAGGGTCACAAAGGAGGGGACAGGAGAAGCCAGCGCTGCCCTAACAGGCACCAGGCCCTGCTCCCCTGGGCACGTGTGGCCCTTCCTTGCTCTTGCCAGTGGCTGGTGGTGATTTAGGCCTTAGGTACCCATCAAGGTGGAGAATCCACTCAAGACCACCTCAGCCATCTACTCCCCCTTGTGTCTCTACCAGGGACCTTGGGGACTCAGTCTGGTCCCTGACCTGGCGGCTTCCACTCCTAGACGAAGCATGTGACTGCATCTTAGTGCTTAGACTGATTATACAACTTTTAAAAATAAATGAGACAAGAATTCCATCAAGTCAAATGGCCCCATTACTGAACAGTGCCATCTTGCCAGTCCCTTGGGCTGTCCCCGTGCAGATGCTCCCTGGGACTCGGGTGGCCGATGGTGCCCAGGTCCCTGCCACCCTCCCCAGTGCTGCCCAGATGGGAACTTGGGGCTCCTCCCCAGGGTGGCACCAGTGTGGTTGAACCTGGCCCTGGACAAGGCCCCCTGGGCAGCAGGGCTGTGGGTGGACAGCTCACCTTTCTCCCCGCGGGCCCCTTTGTCCCCTCGGTCCCCTGGCGAGAGGCAGAGAATGGGAAACTTCTGGTGAGAAGGCACGTCTCCTGAGGCCGACCCGTCCCACCCGCTCTGGGCACCACCACCAGCAGTGCTGCCAGGGGAGAGGCAAGGAGACAGCACCTGCTGGGGTTAGCCAGGCCTTCCCTGCACCTCCTGTCCCTCGCTGTGCCTGCTGACTTCCATCAGGACACAGCGAGGCCCTTTCGGTCCAGTCTCCTCACAGTGCTGCGCGGTTACCTTTGGCCCCAGGGGGTCCTGCCTTGCCAGGGGGTCCAGGGGCACCTCGTTCTCCTGCAAATTCCAGACAGTATCCCTGAGAAATTGGCTCTCCGAAATCCTGCCCTGAAATCTGCCCCATACTGTGGATGATGGGGGTCCAGCACCCTCAGAGCTGCTGGCTGGGCCTGAGCCTGGCAGGGACTGCGGCTGGGAGACAGAGCCCCTGTCACCCGGTGGCTGATGGGGAGCCAGAATCAGGCAGGGAGCTCGCCCCTCTGGCTCTGCTCGCTGGCTGCAACCTGGATCCTGCCCTCCATCCCATCAAGGCTAAGTTTAGGGCCATGTCATCCTCTCGGAGCTGGACTGTCCACTTAGGGTGGGGTCCCAGGACCGAGAGCACTCTTGTCCTCAGCGGGTCCCAGGAGGAGGAGGTGGCTCTGTAAGTGACGGAAGCCTGGCTGTGTGGGGGTGGGATGTCCTCACACAGCCCTGTGCTGGCTTTGACTGTGTGCCACACAGCTTGGTGCTGCTGGCTCCTACGGGGACCAGGGACTACCCAGCCCTCTGTCCCAGCCATGCATGTCTGGTTGGTCCCAGAACTAGGCCCTTTCCTTCTCGATGGATGGAACTTAGGGCCAGGAGAGGCAGCTCCCAGTCCCCAGGAGGGCAGCAGGACACCCACCAGCCTCGCTGTGCCCTCACAGTGCCCAGGGCCATTGCTTCCTTTTGGGGACAGGCCATTGACATGCAGAGGCAGGAGACTGGTGCACCAGAAGTGGGGTACTGGCTGACATCCTGCCCATGGGAACAGACTCCTCCCAGGTCCCTCTACAGGAACTGAGGGACAGAAATCCCAGCCTGGTGGGTCCGGTGTGTTGAGAAGGTGCCCAGGGACCACAAGCCCAGGCACCTCACAGACAGGTAAGTCTCAGGACGTCCAGGTCTTCCTATCCCCACCAGATACTCCTGGGCTGGGCCCCTCCTTGAAAAGCTCTATGTGCTGGGAGTTCACAATCTGGCCAAGCCAGTTGTAGAGGAGTGGGACTCACCACAGCTCAGGTGCCACAGGCACAGGGTCAGGACGGGGAGGCTGATGCAGGAAGCTGCCCAAAACTCCTAAGCTGTCACATGGGGAGGCTCCCTCCAAGTCCTCCCCTGTCGGTGGCCTGAGCAGTGCCCGGCTGAGCATCCACTGCAGAAAGGCGAGAGCCCTCCCCCCGTAGCTGACCCCACACCCAGCCCAACACACCTGTCTCTCCCTTGGCACCTGCCTCGCCCTTGGGCCCTGGGGGTCCAGGCAGCCCTGGGCAGCCCCGGAGAATGGCGAGTTTGTCTGTGCCCTCCACGCCCATCACCTTCACTTCTGCAGGGAGAGACACACGTGGCCCCATCAGGGTGGTCACCCCAGGCTGAGCCACCAACAGCCGCCCACCTGCAGGGCCCTGCCACCTTGGGAGCCCAGAAGAGGAACCCTGGGTTCCCTCCTAGAGTGGAGGTGCAGGGATGAGCTCTGCTTCTGGGCATCAGCCTGCCCCGGAGGACCCAGGTCCTCAGTGCCGGGGTCCAGCCTCAGTGCTGGGTTCCTGGGTCAGTGGCCTAGACTCTGGTTGTGGGGAGATTAGGTTGGAGAACACGAACTGGAACGATCTTAGTGGAATTCCTAGAGATGCCAGGAAGGAAAGAAAAAAACGAAAGAGAAAGAAAGGAAGAAACAAAGGAAGAGAGGAAAAGGAGAAGGAAAAAAGATGATGAAGGAAGAGAAAGAAAAGAAAAGATGACAAATAGGCAAGGGCAGGTAGCTCTCAGCCCTGGGATCAGAGGAGCAGAGTTCATCTCACCTGGACAGGTATCAGCAGCCTGGGCAGCCAGGCTCTGGACGCACAGGAACAGGAGGAGAAGGACAGTGGGCCCCAGAGCCATGGTGACTCCACTCAGCTCTGGGCCCTCTCTGTGGCCTGGAGGAAGCTCCCAGCACTCACAGGGAGCCAGGCCTCGCCTTGCGTGGTTTCTCAACTACCGAGGGGACACCCACTTCTGACAGGCTGTCTGATTGCTCAAGGGGAGGCGTGAAACCTTCCCATAGTATGAGTCCCTCACTTTCCCTAAAGGACGCCGGCCAGAGGCCCCTCTACCAGAGAGGGCTCCCTTGTCGTTGTGTAGGAAAGCCCGGCCTCCATGTGCCCCCAACTCCCACAGTGGTCCCTGTCCCCATGTCCTGCCCTGTGACCTTCACTGGGGTGGGGAAGGCTCTGCTGAGTGTTTTTCCTGCCTCTCTGGAATCCTGGGTGTGGGGCTGCTCATGGCGCCTGAGGTGGAGGATGCCCTCATCCCTCAAGGTCCCAGAGGCCCAACTGAGTCTCTCTCTGTAGCTGGCACTTTGGGGAGGCCTCTGAAGACATGTAGGAGTGGTCAACAGCCAGAGTTGGGTGATGGCTGGAGTCGGTGGCCGAAGGGCAGCCTGGTTTCTCGGGGCCAGTGCACAAGGTGTGGGTTCTCAGCCACAGAGACTCCCACGGAGAAGTGGGGGCCCCAGGCCATGGCACAGCAAGGATAGGGGACGCACTCAGCAAGGGCAGCCCGACCCTTCCCACCTGCTCTTTCCAGGCCTGGGCCTCTGGGCAGGGGGACAGCAGCTTCACCACCGGGAGACCTCTGAGGCCCCAGGGGCTGCTAAACCAGGCCAGGTGAGTCTGGCCTCCTGCAGACCGCCTCCTGTGTTCCTTCACCAGGTCTTGGTGGGGACTGGGTGGCGGCAGCCCCCGGGGGACTGGGCTGTCTCTTCCGCTCACTCCCTGGGTCGGTCCAGGAGAGGCGGCCACAGTACAGGCCAGTGTCAGATGCATGTGGCTGAGATGTGGCCAAGGACGCCTCATTGGGCAGGGGGCTCTGGGTGTTGACTTTTAACCCCACTGTGAAGCCAGATTTGATGGAGCTGAGATCAGGATAAGGCCATCAAGTGGAGCCCTAGGATGGAGTCCTGGTGGCTTTAGAGGTAGAGAGACCAGAAAACACACACAGGCACACACACACACACACACACACACACACACACACACACACCCACACACCTTCACTCCCTTTCTCTCACCAGGATGCTCTGTGCCACCTCAGGCCTCTGCCAGCAAAAAGGCTTCCCCAAGTGCCACATTAAAATATGTCATTTGGCTTCTGGTGATGGCGTTCAGGTGCCTGGGGCCATCTGCTCTCCTGAGCTGCAGAAAAGCCAAGAGTTGGGCCTTGAGCTGCTAAAGGTGTGGTCTGGGGTTGGGTCAGTGGGATCCCCCTCCTTGGCCCAGAGAAAGGGCCTGCAGTTTGCCTGGTAGCTGTGTGAGTGTCCCAGGAAAGGACCTCCAGGTATTTCTAGGTTGCTCCTGCCCTCAGGCTCCCAGTGGAAACCATCAGAAATCTTCTCTGGGGAGCACACACCTCAGGTTCCCTCACTGCAGCACGGATGACACCTTCCTGAGAAGCACTGTGAAAGATGGAGTCCAGTGTTAAAGAGTGCTGATTACTTAACTGCATCTGTGGAGGGTTCAAAAGGAGGCCCCACTGGACAGCAGGGCTGGGGTGGGGCACATCCTGTGGTAAAATGCAGAGAAAGCGGAACTCCAGCTTCCTCAGGAGCCGGGCGCCTGGACAGGCTTGGGCTGGGCTGGTGCCTGGCGCTGCTCTCCTGGGTGGGGCACGGTCAGCTTTGTGCTGACCAAGTCACTGGGTGGAGCAAGACACAGGGAGGAAGAGGAGGCAGAGGTGTAAGAGCCTGAGAGGGGGCAGGGACGCCAGGGATGGTTTTGTCAGCACCCCAGGAGGGACAGCTGACGAACGAAGCCTCCCAGACTTGTGACTTCTGAGACGCGTTTTTCTCAAGCCAAATGTTAGATGTGGACGGACAATAACCAGGTTCCCTAGGAGGAAAGACAACGTCCCAGCAGGAACAGGAGTGAAGCTGGGCCCAGAGGCTAAAGGTGCAGCTGCACGGACACTCATGGATATCAGGAAGCTCCTCCGAGGCTGGGGACAGTGAGGAGGCTGTCACTGCCCCTCGGGTAGCAGGGGAGGACAGCGGACTGCAGAGGGGCCGGAGAGGCAGACACGGAGTTGTTTTTGGAAGATAGCAACGAATGAGTACAGAATCTAAGTGGTTCCAAAGAGAAACCGTTCCAATGACTATGTTTAGCAAAGCAATTCTGCTTCTAAAGACTAGCCACAAAGAATTAAAACATGAGATTTTAAAAATGTGCAGCACTTGGCACAAAAGGCAAATAACCAAATAAATCCCACGAAATTCTCACCAGTCTTCCATGAAGAGGACAGTCACGTGGGAGCTTTGGGATGGGGGGAAGACGGAGGTCCGTCCTTCATTCCTGGGTCGGAGGACTCAGGATCCGGAAGACATCAACTTTCCTAGCTGATCTAGAGGCTCCCTGCAGGATCCACCACGTTCCCATCTTGTGACCCTCAATAAGGTGGGTTTAAGATTTATGTGAAAATCGAGACTTCCTTGAGCGGAAACAAGGGACATCGACCCTCCCTCCTCCATACCCATATGCATTAGAAAGCTGCAGAAATTAATACAGAAATTAAACTATGGACTTGGTTTGCCCGTAGACATGAGCCAGGAGTCCAGAAACAAAGTCAGATGTTCTGACCTTTCACCCAGGACCCAGTGGCTGTTCAGGGTGCTGGGGAGGATGGCTTCTCAGTACACAGTACTTAGCTGAGGGACACTCTCCGGGAAACAAGAAGTGGAACTTGACTTTTACCATTAAAAAAGGTCAGTGTTAGGAGAACCATCAGCCCCCATGTGAAGGTAAAAACAATAGCTTTAGATGTGATTATAAGATATCAAACAACCTCAGAAATATCTTCTTCAGGATAGAAAAATCACTAAACCATAAAGGAAGTCTGAAAACTGAACAGAGAGGAACATTTGTTTTTCACAGTATACCACCAAGAGAATGGAGAGACAGAGCCCCTGGAGGATAGAGCTATTTCAACAAACACAGGGATGGAGGGATTGGATCCAGAACGCAGGACCGAGCAAAATGAAAACTCGATTAACAGGAAGTAGGGAGATGGGCCTTTCTCCGAGGGAAAGTGGATCAGGAGATGGAGGGAGGGGAGAGGAAGGGATGAAAGAGGAGTCGATATGTGTGTGAGTGTGTGTGCGCACGTGTGTGCGCACGTGTGTGGGTGTGCGTGCCAACTCCGTACAGGAAGTGTAAACGTTATGAAGCGCATACACGGAGTAATAAAAAGTGCAATGCTCATGTATACAGTCAGAGTTTTTCTATGTATAGATTTCTTTGAAATCTCATTTGCCATGACATATTGTAGGCATTTTTACACAAATATAGATCCATGTATACAAAAAAAGAGAATTCCTGTAAATCAACCCTCCCGCAGAAAGCGGCAGCCTAACTCCAGCAGAAGACACTTCAGAGCCGAGAGGAACACGAACGGGCAGGCGCCCAGCAGAGAATAACCAGAGAAATGTGGTCAAAATCGCACCCCCTTCATTCACCCCAGGGCTGAACAACGGCAGGGCGTACGAGGTTTGGGGAGGGGCCTGAGAGATGGGGGCCGACGTTTGAGAAGTGGGAACATGTCTTGGCATTTCTTCCTGCAGTTTTCAGTGAGCAGGAAGCCCTGTAGGCAGCAAAGCACAGCTTTGTTCTGCGGAACAGAAAGATGAGGCGGGGGACAGCCCCACCCAGCAGCACGGGCGGCCTCGAGGGGAGCACACACCGCAGGTTCCCTCACCGCAGCACGGATGTCACCTCCCCGCAAAGCGCTGTGGGAATTCACCAAGCCGAGAAAGAGGGAGGCCGGTGTCAGAGTGCTGATTACTTAACCTCATCTGTGGGAGGTTCAGAAGGAGGCCCCACTGGACAGCAGGGCCGGGGGCCGGGCACATTCCGTGGTAAGACGCAGAGAAAAGCGGAACTCCAGCTTCCTCAGGAGCCGGGCACCTGGACAGGCCTGGGCCCTGGGCTGCTGCGTGGCGCTCTCCCCTGGGTGGAGCACGGTCAGCTTTGTGCTCTCTGGATGTAATGTGTCACTCTGAGAAGGGAGTTTGAGTCCATGACAGGATTTGAACCGGTTCACCCCACACTACCTCCTGCTTACTTCGGGAGTGGGGCAGCTGTCTCCAGGGTCCCTGTTGTCCCCACCCTCTCTTCTGGGAGCTCTCTCATTCCGGAGCTTCAGGCTTGGGCTGAAGTCTGAGATGAGTCTTTGAAGACTCAGGGCGGGAATCAGCCCAGTGAGAGGCAGCAGGACTTTGCCTGCCCACCCAGGGTCAGCAGCTCGCCTCTGGGTGGCAGGGCACCGTGATACAATGTTTCAGATTCCGTGGGGATGTGACTGTTACATAACAGCTGGGAGCCCGGCTACCCAAGCCCAGATTGCTGTGGACTGGGTGACAGCCTGTGGCAGTCTGCCCCACGAAGCTCCTCCTGTCAGCCCACCACAGAGCTGACATCTCCTCTTCTGGAGTCCTGGCTTCCGGATACAGTATTGGCCCCTTCTCTGGAGACCTGGGCACCTGGCTGGGCTGTCCCTGTCCCTCTGAGGGGCCAACTTCCCCTCCTGTTCACTGGGGTCTGAGGGCTTTGGGGAGGGGCTGCACTCCCGGCTTCTGCTCTGCTCCTCAGATCTGTGTGCCCTTCTGCTGGGTAGAGGGTCTGCCAAGTCTGTGCTGGAGCCGGGGAGGCCCCTCTCAGTCAGTGTGTGGACATTTCCTCTTAAGGGGAAGAGGAAACGAGGGCTTTCCTTGAGTGATGCCAGATGTGTCCACAGCCTTGGGGCACCCCCGTCCCTAGCCTCAGGTCACCCCACCCTCCTGCTGGTGTGTTTAGCTGAAACTCCTCCAACGCCGGGTAAAAAGACTCCGGGTACAAAGACCACCCACAGCCTCACCCTCCCTGCCCTAGGCCCTGTCTGCTGTGCCAAGGAGTCCAGGGCATCTGAAGACCCTTAGCATCCTCCATCCCCACATCG